AGAAATGACAGGTTTTGAGAGTCTTAACCCGATCAGTGAATTAATCCCCTGGTGGGGATTAATTGTGTGGTTACTGAAGTGATAGGGTGTGGCTGGAGGAAGTGGAAATTCAGGTGTGGCTTTGGGGTATATATTTGGATCTGGCAAGTGGAGACTGTCTGTGCTTCATCGTGTGAGATGGTTCCCTCTGCCATACTCTTCCATCATGATGTTCAGCCTCACCTCAAGCCTGGAGGAATGGAGCTGGCTGCATATGGACTAAGACCTCTGAAACCTTGAGCTCTCAAATAAACTTTTCCTCCTCTAAAATTGTTCTTGTCAGATCCTTTAGTCAGAGCAGTGAAAAAACTGAGTAAAACAATATTATAATACCATAAGATCACCATTAAAAATGACAGAACAAAAACCCAAGGGTGATTTGAACTATATTATAAAGCAATTATTTCCCAGTTATGAAATGGAGATATATATATATATATATGGCTTACCCCTTACTATTGTCACTTAAGGTCTGATTCACCCTTACATTGGGAGCAACATAATCATACTAAGATGGGTCAAGTAGATAATACTCATTACCTTGGGTGGTATTCTTCCATACCCTGTTCTTCTATAATAACCATAAGATCCTCTGATTGGCTAAAGACTGAGAATGGTGACCTGTCATTTACTGGAGAGAATGTAATGGAACTCAATGGCTCTGTGGAACCAGTATTTGGCCTTGGCTTTCCCTCACTTGAATAGGACATTGCACTTTGGGCTTTCACTGGATACAGAGGCATATTCAATCCTCCTTCAGTATGGGCTCTAAGAACTTTTCCCCCTTAAAAGACAGAGGGATTCGATCATTGTTGCTGTGTTTGTTCCTACTTTAGAGCTCTTAGATGTGATTGCCCTCATGGAAGTATTAGCTAATTTCACCTATCAAGGCTTAAACGACAGCTGACAAACATTACACTTGGTAAATACAGAAATGCCCTTAATAAAAAAAGCATTCTTGGGGCTGGGGCTGGAGCTCAATGGTAGAGTGTCTGCCTAGAACTCGTGAGGCACTGGGTTCAATCCTCAACACCACATAAAAATAAAAAAAGGTATTGTGTCCATCTATAACTAA